AAAAGAAGCGGGGTTGGTACGGGAATCCTCAATATTGCTGTTTCTGTTTTCTGAATAGGCAATTACGTTTTAGTTTTGAGCAAAAATACTAGAGTCACGTGCTCTCAAAATTCAAGCACAATGTCTTCTTTTTCTATGACCCATTTTTAACAATCCAACAGTTTTCATTTTAAAAGCGTTGGAACGAAATCGAAATACTAAACTCAATAAGCTTACTTTCATCTTAGAATTAAATGTGTTAATAGATAGTCATTTTACGATTCGTAAAAGATGTCAGGATGAAATAAAAATGTCTTTTGTTCATACCATTGCTATGCATAGGAGAAATGCTCAAGAAATCTGTTTTCCTGATTACTCAGACGTACTTAACTCTGCATCTCTTGTGGTTTCCAATGAAGATCCTTGAATTTGAATAACCTTATGTAAGCATTTTGTATACATATATATGCAATGACTCTCATGGGTCAAGAGTGTTTCCACCTTCTCTTTGACACCCCTTAAAGACACCGGCTCAACGTCCAACAGCAAGAACTATTTCTAGTACAGTTACTGTACACAGCATTAGTTTTTTCATTCTTGAAAATGTGATACTACAACCATATTAAAATACTTCATAATACAGGATATTAAAAATAGTTTGTAATGTTCGTGGGTTTAACAAAATTTCTAAGATTGATAACGACAAAAACTATTTATTTACACTACTGTTGATATATCACTATTCACTGCGCTATTTATTTCACTGCTATAACTGTCAATTTATTTCTGGATTCATTTCTGCAACGGTTAATTTATTTTTCCCCCTTTCGGCGATCGTCTCTTCCTTTGAATACTCTTTTTTGTTTACTTCCTGGAACCTTCTGGAAACATCCGGATAGTTTATTTTTTTCTTTGAACTGTTTAACTGCTTTCCCAGAAAGCAGGTACGACACACACATTTACAAATACGGCGAACATTAAGAAAGGCGCCTGCGGGTAGTCGGCGAATCGATAACCCATTCACGCACACGTGTGCCCAATCGCACACAAACACACTCATGCTCGCTACAATATAAATCGCTGTAAAAAAAGATGGTGTATTTATAGCATTACACGCGTTAGAGGTTAAATTAGGTTATGTTAGGGTAGGGTAGGGTAGGTTTGGTTGGATTATATGTAGATTGACGCGCGTTAGGTGTTCTATACAGATACTAATACTTCTATTTTCGTATTTATTAAGTTCATATAAGTATACGACGTTTCCTATATTAAAGTTGACAGTATTAATAACTATTAAAATAAATTGAATTTTATCTACGCAATAAATTTGAACCGGCTACTGCTTCTGTGAGAGGGCAGTTGTGATAACGATGAAAACAATTTAGATACATCCCTTTACTTCGGCGTTCGTCCTTTAATGTGCTACAGTAAATTAACGCTTTATAAGGCCTAGTAAAAGCGTCACTAATAAGACTATTAAGTTGCCCTTGCGATGTTTATGACGTCTTACACTGTAACCTGCTACTTATTACACCATTATCGCCAAGTCTTTCACACTGTGCCTTATGTAATAAGACTAGTATTGCGCTTCTAACAGAGCCTCTTACATATCGTTTCTGTATTAATCGTATACGTATTTATTGTCACGCAATTTTAAACAGGTAATTAAAATTTATTACGTAGAAACATAAAATTGTGTGCGATGAAAAATAGTAGATTATAACCCTTTGATGGGGTAGATATAAGACACCATACGATGATACATCTTATAAGTAATATAACAAGTAAGTGTATTTATATCGCTTATGCTTAATAAATCATGGTAATATAGTTGGGACCTTCAAAATTGGCATAGTCCGCAATAGAAAGATCACATTTACTTTCTTCTTTCAACTTACTAACGAGACTAGAGCGGTTGCTGACAGACGTTATAAGGAATACTTTAAACATAGAAAAGAGACGTCAGGAATTGCAGCGGACACTAATTAAGAAAAATGAATAACATTGCACCAATTGATGTGTAACAGAAACAGATGCAGACAATCAGAATTTGAGCATTTTGTCAGAATTGGAGATCACAGAATTCAACATATTCAAGGGTTTAGGAAAATAAAGACGCTTATTTAAAGATATAATTCCAAGCAAATATAGAAAAGAGATGTCAGGTAAGAATTGCAGCGGACACTAATAAAGAAAAGGAATAACATTACATCAATTAATGTGTAACAGAAAAAGATGCAATAAACAGAATACGTTTGTTTAAAGATATAATTCCAACGAGGAAGTTATAAAGCCGATCCTGATCTTCTAACCGCTGCACCGCTTACTTTTATTCGGTTTTCTCTATTCACTTTGTCTGTACTACTCATGAAACATTTCCTAACTTAACAAGGGCGTGTTCAAAACGCAACAAATGACTACAGTTCCAAGTGGAAACAAGAAAGAAGATACGTTAATTCTCACAAAGAATTTAATGCGAACTTTGTCAATTTTGATCGAACCAACTATACTTGTATTTCAGTACCACGGAAAATGTAATTACAGGAAACAAAGATTGCATATTACAGGCACCCTTAATTGAATGCTAAATGGTTGTTTTAATCTTCGATCGGATTTAGCAAATACACCTTTGATGAGAACGGCAGGTTTATACAAAAACATTAATCAATTGCAAAATAGAACTTTTGAACGGTATTTTCAGTCACTAAATAAATAGTGAGTTACAGCCGTTATAGAAAAGAACATTAATTTAATACTTAAAAGTTAATCGTCTTAGTTTTATTTTAAGAAAAAAAAAATGAATTACCACAAAAATTTTTGCATATCGAAAAATAACAAATCAATTGTAGCTACTGTGGTCGCTCATGTTGTTTAAGAAAGTGGAAAACAATTTTTTATTGCATTGCCCTTTCTTTCGACACTTATTAACGATACGACTTTTGTGTCACGTTAAAGCGCCGCAACTGTACATTGCTGTAGATTTTCGAAATTATCCATTCAGGAAGTGATAAAAAAATTCATTTATTTAAAATAGAAAAAAGCTTTATTACTTTTCAAATAAGGGAAATATATTAAATGGCTTAATGTATTAAAAACGACAAAATCTTTAGAGCTGCTGTAAAATTATTATGTACAGCGAAAGTTCTAAAGAAGCGAGTGAAGAGCCTGCATTATTATCTGTACAGATAAAAGCTTTAAAGAAAAGGATGTGTGCACGTATGTGAATATGTATCTATACGATCCTTTCTTTCGACCGTAATGAAATGTCCTACTTTATCTTTTATCTTTTCTATGAAACTATTACAGAAGAAGAAAGCAATTCATCTTTTCAGTGACATTCACCGATAGACCAAGCGTTGTTGCATTTTTTTGTACTTATCCTTTATACTTTTAGAAAGATTAATAATTTTATTTCTATCCGTTTAGAAAATCACGTTCTAAAATGTCTTTGTAGGTATCTATATAGGTTCTTTTTAGCTTTAAATAAAATGGACGCGGTACTGACAGATCAGTACTGTATGAAAATAAATAAAAGTGAAACTAAAATACTGGTATGCAAGGGAAGAAAAAGTAGGGAAAGAGCGAATATAAAGATAGGAGATGAAAAATGAGAAGAAGTGGCTGATTTTAGATACCTAGGAAGTCAGATAAGTCAGGATGGAAGGAGTAGTAGGGATATAGGGCAGAGGATAGCGCAGGGTCGTGTCGCCTTTAATAAGAAGAAGTCACTTCTATGCTCGCGAACGGTTACTTTAGAAATTTGAAAGAAGTTGTTAAAGGTGTATGTTTGGAGCACGGCGCTGTACGGGTGCGAAACATGGACAGTGGGCGCGGCGGAAAAGAAAAGGTTAGAAGCGTTCGAAATGTGGTGTTATAGGCGGATGATGAGGATATCGAGGGTAGAAAAGGTTAGAAATGAAGAGGTATTGGAATAGGAGAACAGAGGACTCTATGGAAGTCAATAAGAAATGGCGAGATAGGTTGGTAGGACACCTTCTTAGGCATGAAGGTCTAATTCGAGACATATTAGTGGCAGAAACAGGAGAAAGGAGGGGTAGAGGTAGACCTAGATTAGATTACTGTTCGCAAATAGTTAAAGATGTGGTTTGTTCTAGTTTTAGGGAAATGCGAAGTTTAGTTCAGGATAGGAAATAGTGGAGGTGTGTGTCCAACCAGTCTTAGGACTGACGACCTTATGATGATGATGATGATGATGATGATGATGATACGTATGGACTTTCTTAAATTATTTTGTCGTCTTACATTTTCCAGAATTCACATAACTCAACTCAGTTTTGTGAATGCTATTATAATTTGGACGTAGATTTAAGAGGTAATTAATTAAGTTTCATGTACGGGCTAACTCCTCCTATTCAGGATAGAAGATTATCTTGTAGTAACAATCTAAACTCCAAAACTGATGCTTCATGCTTTTATTGTCCACGGTGGTGTGGTTCTAGGAATTTCAATTTATTTTCCCCAAACTGAATTTTCCAAATTCCAACGCACTTTTTATCTCACTTAATACGTTCCCCACCGTCGGTTTTGGAACTAACTTTTATCCACTTTTTTACAAATGTAGCATGTTAATAACTAAAGAGTATTGTAAATATAGGTATGAATCCTTATCATAATAACTAGACAAAAATAGTTTCTATACGGGTTACAGCAAAAATCACTAGTCAGGTTTTGAAATGATTACTGGATGTAAGCTAAGTTTAAATGAAGTAAACTTTAATGACATTTGATTGGAGTTTTGAAAGAACAAGGTTATAGTTTTCACCAGAACCAGATTCACTGTCAACTCAAGGACGAAGGTATTCAATACTGACAAAAAGATACGTGTTTGGTCTAGATCTGGTTCATAAAAACAATAGCATTTTTCCAATGATGCGCATCAAATCAATAAGTAGCTACTTATAAAATGTTTCGTCCTCATCGAGGATAAGAAAAGTAGGATCAAATATCCCTTACTATGCGTCTTGTAGAGTGTTAATCGTGCACGTTTTCTGTCATTTCAGCATGGCACAGCGGCGACATCAAGTGAAACAAGCGTCGGGACGCAGCCCGGAGGTAGCGTGACTTCACGGACGGCGTCGGAGACGGCGCCAGTGCCACCAATGACTGGTCAGCATCATCACACGGGCGCCAAGTTCAGACATGGCCTACTACAGCTCATGATACACACCATCGATCCAATGCACGACGGTAAGAAATCAATTTTATCATAAAATACTGTTTTACACATGCACAGTTTGTTCAAAAGATAAGACGTTTAATCAATAACATCATTTCGTGTTGCGGCTATTGATGGTTCTATCAGTAAAATGCGATATTCTGTAGTATCGTAGCAAAGAAGAGAAAACAAATTCAGATTAGCTAAAGCTTTCTGTGTTAGTAACAAGTAACTGAGATACCAGATATCAAGTAGACAACTTTGTGTAATACTATGAAATACTCACTGCAGTTAGCAGTAAATGTTGTGAGATGACGATTGATTTTTGTGCGCCACAAGAGATTAAAGCCCAGTTCACAGTATCGTTTAAGTTACTGTCTAGTCACGGTCAGATATCGTAGGAAAGAAATATCCCGGTGTATTGACTGGACCGTGGCTTGACTGTTCCATATACTTAGTAAGAATGTCGCTATATGAAACGTATGCTATAATATTTTACTTGACTGTAACCGTACCGTGACTTAATCGACAGTATGAGTCGGACTTAAACCTGCAGGATTGAACGAAGGCAGAGATTTTATTCTCAGTAAAGTCCTTATCTTCCTTCCTCCTGTTTGTCCTATTGACATTTTTTGCGCTCCATTTAAGTCCGATTCACACTATTGGTCAAGTCACGGTTTAGTCACGGTGAGATCAAAGTTGGAATCATATACTACGGTGAATTGACTGGACCGTGACTATTCCGTCCCGTGTACTATGAATATTTTACTTGTGACCGACCGTGACTTAATTGTGAGTTGACCGATCGACAGTACGAATGAAAAAGAATTAAACCCAATTCACACTATCGGTCTAGTGACGGTCCGATTAAATATAAAATACTCCGGTGAATTGAGCGGACCGCGACTTTTTCGTCCTGTGCAATATGAATATTTTAGGTACTTGTGACCGACCGTGAGTTGACCAACAGTATAAATCGGACTTAAATCTGCTCGGTTTATCGTCTACTATTTGTGACTTTGCTATCCCGTTTAGTATAAATATTTTACTTGTCACCAACCGTGACTTGATTGTGAGTTGACAGGCAGTATAAATAGGGCTTAAAGTTGCTCGGTCTATCTTTCACTATTTCTCTTTGTCTTACTGACTTTTTGTGTTCCAAAAGGGATTAAAGCCCGATTCACACTATCGGTTAAGTCACGGTCTAGTCACGGTCAGATCAAAATATCGTTGGAACCAAAAACATCTAATGAATTGACTGGGCTGTAACTTTATCGTCCTGTGTAGTATGAATATTTTAGGTACTTGTGACCGACCGTGACTTGATCGTGAGTTGACCAACAGTATAAATCGGAATTAAATCTGCTCGGTCTATCGTCTACTACTTCTGCAACAGGAATTAAAGCCCGATTCATATTATCGGTCAAATCACGGTCTAGTCACTGCCAGACCAAAATATCGTTGGAACCAAATACTCCAGTGAATTAACTGAACCGTGACTTTTCTATCCCGATAGTATGAATCGGGCTTAAACATGTTCGTTTATACGAATGGAACGATTTTACTTTTGGTTAGCATCTTCCCTTCCACTACTTCTGTTTATCCTACTGATACAAGGGATTAATGCCCGATTCATACTATCGGTTAGACCACGGTCTAGTCACGGCCGGAGTAAGATATTGTCAAAGGGAAATACCACGGTGAATTGACTAGACCGTGCCATGATCGGAAGTTATAAGTTACAATATTTTAAATAAAAGTTATTTCGTAGAACTTAAATGTTTATGCCTTTAATTCCAAATAATTAGGTAAATTAATATACGAAAAGACATTTTCAGCTCACATATTTGTGTACTTTTGTAATTTCATAATGTATCTACTGGATTGATACCAACCGGTACCAATATGAGGGCGAAATTTATCGAAAATTATAAAGCATTTCAACCTTCAGATTTTATTAATAGCAACAGAATGCAGCAACACCCTTACACGCCATGTCCTATTTAGACCGATGTGACCCTAAAGTAGATACCCTACGTAAATCCTTTAGGAGTATGCCCTATTTAGTCTGACCTGGCCCTAATGTGGAAACCGCATCTGAACTACACAAGGCAGTAACTTGATCAGTGCAAAATTACGCACTTTAATCAGGTGCACAAGGAGGCTACCACCCTCAAATGTTACATTTCTCATCCCGGTCCAATTAAAATTACCTATCAGGACCCTATCTGAATTCAGGTTTGCCCAATGGGATCCAGACGGCAGCCCTGTGTGAGTGAGTGTGTGTGTGAGTGTGTTTGTGTGTGTGTGTGTGTGTGTGTGAGTGTGTGTGTGAGTGTGTGTGTGTGTGTGTGTGTGTGTGTGTGTGTGTGTGTGTGTGTGTGTGTGTGTGTNGTGTGTGTGAGTGTGTGTATGTGTCTATGTTCGTTCTTCTTCTTCTCTCTTCTTATTTCTATGTGTCAATATCGTGCTCTTCGTTTTTCCCTCTCCTTTTCCTTCCTTTCCCTTATCCATATTATATTTAATAATCCTGCATGAGCTCCTGGGCCCGTGATCCGTTGTATTCAATTTCCTTGCTCTTTTCCCGTGTGCTCACGTTTTTCCAGGACATGTTGTACTGTTTCCTCCTTTACCTTTTCTTTTTCCAGTATTTAATTGTATCTTGTCTTTTACTTTTAAACATTCTTTAAGTAGATTACTTCCGTCTTTTCTAATTTTCTCCTCATGTTTTATTTGCTCTTTTTCTTATCTTGTTTGCCATCTTTTCTTTGCCTGTTTCTAATTCTAGTAGGTAGCTTAATGTTGTTTGATCAAGCCTGAGGATCCATTTTATGTACTCTTTTGATTACTTTGTGCTCTACTTTTTTTATTTCTTCTCTACTTATTTCGTCTTCATCTTTCTCTTTGTTTTTATTTCAGTTTTCGTATTTCCAATGCATAATTCTTCTACGTCTATTCCGTTCATTTGAATCTTAGTGTTCTAGCCATTCCGACATTTTTATTTTTTCACTTATTTTCTCTCTTCTGAACCTTTTATTGTTTATGAGTTATCTTTTCTGGCCTCCAACCATTTTCTTGTTTCTTGTTCTTCCTTCTTTCTGACAGTTAACAGTCTGCATCTTTTTCTCACCATGTAGAAGTCTTGTATGTTACCTTCCTCTTTTGTTACACTTCTCTTTGTTTCTTTTAGCTCTTGCTTTATTTGATGGTACTCTTTCGATTTCCTTATTAGAAAAGGACCTTGACGAATATCCCACAATTAATACTAATTTGTTTATTTATTTATTTATCGAAGGCGTTTTAATCACCGTGAAAAAACATCAAGATGTTATTTCTCGAAAAAATATCAATTATTTTACATGATTGTCCGATCATAATAGTAATTACACCTACTTACGCACTTAAATTTTATATTGTTCTCCTCGGCAATTAAAATTACTTTGCTCTCGCATAAAATTATACGTTAGTAGGTACTAGAACAGCTATTTGTTGCACTGTCGTAGGTCGGTCTCTACCTCGGTGGACGAACATCGAGTGTAGGTGCGATTTTCCTTAATTTACATTTCCCGTTTCGCTCAATCCCATGGACGTTCTGCAGCATCCGGAACGGAATATGTGCCCGTGCTGCACTTGGCTCTCTTCCAGCATTATTCAGGTTAAGCCTTCATTTGACAAAACTCCACTGTATGTATAGTTTGTACTTACGTGTCTATATATACATACATACGTGCGTGTGTTCGTAGACATGTACATAATGTGTACATGTACAGAAGTCCGCATCTGGGTAAGTCGTAAAGGGATGCCTTTATGGGCTCTAAACGATAACTACCTCCAACCAAGTTCTTACACTGAGAATTGTAATCGATAGAGTGTCCAGGATATTGTTAAATAGAAAGGACAAAGTTTACTGAGAAAACGAGTTGGTTTCTAACGCTTTTACTGCCCTTAATGAAATTTGAAACTGTGTCTAAATAACTTTTGATAACCCGAGTCTGAAAAGTCTGTAAAAGTACCATCGGTTGAGCAGTTTTGAAGACAGACAGACAAACAATTGTTTTAATATCAGAAGGACAAAGGGCGATATATAACCTGAGATGGGATAGGGTAGTATAACACCTCAGACATGAAGAGCTAGTTGGAGGCGTATTAGAAGCATAAACTGGAGTTAAGAGGGGTTGAAGATTGTGTTTGTCTAGTAGTTTGGCTCAAGATAGAAGGAAGTATCGGTTTGCGTCCAACCAGTCTTTGGACTGAAGATATTGTGATGATTATAAGAAAAAGTTTATCAAAAATTTGCATAATTCATGAATGATTTTAGTGTCTGCTTGTGGTTTGTTCGGTTAGGAAACTCCCACAATTTTGCAAAATCACCAGAACACTACAACCGTATAAATATTGAAGCTTTTTTCGTTTTTCGCCATTCAAATCTAAAAGTGTTGTTCGCGTGATTTATTTTCTTGCCATAAAAAAATATCTTTACTTCCGCTACGCTAAATATAATAAGTTTTCCGCTACCATCCATATTTATTTTACGTTAAAGCCGTTTCTTATTCGTGCCACTATGAATTTAAGAAGATCCCCCGGGATTTGCGAAGTCTGGAAAGATCATATACTTGGTAGCAAACAAACTCGAAACTTTATTAGCGTGTCGTTTAGTGATTTGTATTTCAGTTTTTCTAGACGGAAATATATCAAGAATAGAAATGCCTAAACTGGATTTAGAACTAGCAGCGGCGACTCGTGGGTTTGCTAGACTGGACTGGACACGATGAATAAATTTCAAATCTTATCATGTTAAAACTGAATGGTTATAGAAAATACTACAAATGGCGCAGTAAACGTAGTATTTTCTAAAACGCACTGTTAAGACAGCAGGTAAAAGTTGGTCTATGTTCTGTCGGAGCTGCCTGCGACGCGCTGATGAAATCCAAAAAGATCGAAATCGCGATCCGCGTCTGGCAGTTTTGACAGAATACAGACCACTTCGAATTATTTTACTGAATGGTTGTGTTTTTAGTTTTTCATAATTTCAAGTAAAAATTATTAGATTTCTCTGTATCTGCGAAATTGTATGTCAGTGCGGAATTTTCTAACAATTTCACCCTGCCCATTTCAGAGAGAGAACTATTTACACGTGTCTAATCCTATAGGACGTTGTTCGCAAATGTTCCCTTTGCCCTGGAGAGACCCTTTGGTCGACATCAATTTGTTCAACGGTTCGGTCTTAGTCATCATTTAACGATAAGTTACACCTTCAGTCAGTTGCGTTACGGCGAAGCCGGATGTCATTAATTATGTAAAAGAGAAAAGTTTTAGCCGATTACAAAACGGTTGAAAATTACTCCTTTCGTAGACACGTAGGCTTATGTAAAATTGTAGAATTGTACAGAGGCGACCGATTTAACTCTTTAAAGAATAGAGTTTTGTAAAATTTCATTCGAGTTTAAAAGATATTTGCGAATTACCACATTCTGGACTTAATTAACCAAGTTGTATCGTTTAAGCAGAGTCTTCAGTTGAAAATGAGCAATTTTGAGGTATTCAAGGTAGAAATAAACAAATGGAAAAGAGCGAATGACAGTTGGCTTTTTCCATCCTGAAAAAGGAATTGTGTAATATCCCTGTATTTGAGGCCACAACTAGTTAGGTCAGGCAAAATAATTGAAAAGTCGATTTATGTAAACCTTTAGGAATATTTTCATTGAGATTAGAAGATATTTACGAATTACGACATTCTGGACTTAATTAACCAACTTGTATCGTTTAAGCAGAGTATTCAGTTGAAAATGAGCAATTTTGAGGTGTTCAACGTAGACATAAACAATCATTCGAGTGTGCAGTAGGTTTTTTTTCCATCCTGAAAAAGAAATTTTATAATATCCCTGTATTTGAGACCATAATTGTTCAGGTCATGCAAAATAGTTGGGAAATTGATTTATATGTATAGGAATATTTCTATTGAGATTAGAACGTTAAGTGTGTAAAGAAATATTTTCAAGTTTATTACCAAAATAACGCGTATTTTTCATACGACTTTTTAATAGATAGAAACAGCCTTCTGTAAAGGAAAATCCTTGGTTACTATACATACAATCGTATTATGTGCGTTGCTAACAAGTTCAAGGTAACTTGGATCAATTTTACTTTGACAAAGCTTTCGCTGTTTGTGTACATGTTGCAGACAATGTGATTAAATAGCGATTATACATAATGGCCGGACATTATGTATATTGACTAATTTGAGAAATTAATTTATATCTAGACGCTATTCATAGTAATACACATGGATAAAAGGGTTGTAATGGTTGAAAATTGAATGAAATTAAATAAAGAAAGGACATTATCCATCAACAATAGCCGAAATAAAAAAACCCAGGGTAACCTTAACTGATTTAATCCGTTAAACAAAGTTATGGGTGCACTAAATTTAATACCCATGTTTACTGGTTTTGGTAAAGAAATGTCATTTTTTTAAGAAAGTTTTAATTTTTAGTAGCAGTTAATTTCCTCATTAATTTGAGGTAAGCTTAAGTGGAAAGAAATTAAATTAGTTTTACGTTAATGTTTGATCATTGTTGGAATGTCCTTCCTTAACTTTCGGCTATAATCGTGACTCCTTCTTATCTTTACCTACCCCTGTAATATAAAACAAACTAAAATGTATTTCTTTTGTTACTTTATTCATAGTTTACTATATATTTCGTGAAAAGGGTAGATTAAGGATAAAACTTTTATTGAAATCCTTCTGTTGTGGTTTCTACAAAGACAGTATCTTATCTGAATATGTTTCAAAATTAAATAAAATGTTGGAACAAAGGATATAACATAAAACGTTGCTGAGATGACCTTTGCAAGTTTTTAAAGTTACGTGCACACCTACGACAAAACGAAGCAGCATTTGCAAAAACGACGAAAAGAAAAAAACAGGATGATGATCACTAACCATTCCCACCACGTCAAATGGTAGCTTGTTATGTGGTTGGACCTCTGCCAGCTGTATGAGGGTTTTTGTTAAAGCGTAAATAGTGGTTTTACGAGTGTTGTAACTCTAGACACACATACCTCGTATAGTTTCGAGATTGTGGTCGTAATTCCGTTTACTTTATTAGCATTTTTATTTGGCATTACCTCATAAGCTTTTTGAGAGGGATGATAAACAATTTCTGGACAATGTGAGTAAATATAAGGAATCTAGGATTGCGTATAGAGACCAGTTGTCATAAAACATACTGCACATAATTATGTGGCGATATCCAGCACATGTTTTAAAATTGTTTCTTTTGTGTACATATTGTAAATACCTTTCTGAAATATTTCTTTTCTATTTTCGATTAGGGTCTATAGAAATTCCTTCCTTTTGTAAATAATCTATTGTATTTTGCTTATCTATTTAAATAACTGTATTGCTGTACTTTCTTATAATCCCTGTAACATTTCATCTTTCGCGTACTAACCGCATGGCGTCTGTACCTTCCATTCCTTCCTAATTGCAATTTTACAATCGGTTTCTTCGGTGGTTGACCCTGCCATCAATTTCTTGGTATTTCTGATATTAAAGTTTCCATACTTCAGTACTTCCCTACTCGTATCTACTACCCACTCTATTCCTTCCTGGTATAACAGTTTTTCATTTTTCATAAATACAAAAATGAGTTCGTCTTCCGCCTTCAGCAGAACAAGTCTCTTCTCTTTTCGTTAAGTTGTAAATATATGTTGTTGTTATCTAGTTTTATTCATTCGTATTATAAGTCCTCCTCAAAACCTTCTCAAACAAAGTGACCCAAAACAAAAATTAATTAATTAATTAGTGTGGATTATCAATTCAAATTAAGACAAAGCAAAAGGAAAACAAAATGTTTTAGCTACTGTTAATAAGGATTAATGAAAACAAAATACTTGAATAATATTCGACAGTATTTCGTAGTTCTCTATTCACGATGAGTAACTTAAAAACAGTAGGTGCAGTTAGGAGCAGTTGCAAGAACCCTTTTGATAAAACGGCTTAGTTTTCTCATTGTCTTCCTGGCAGAACTTTAGAAACTGCAAGATTTTCATCATGCTGAGTTAGCACCAGCACATACGCCTGATAACTTGGAACAAAATCCCCATTGATGTTTCGCTTTTCTACTAGGTACAATTTCAACAAAGGAAAAATGGTCCTTTGTCTCACGAAAGCTCCTGCGAGAATAATTTTGAAAATAATGAAATAGGTAGACTTAACGAACACGAAGACATTTACAATTTTATTTTTATGTTTATAATACCACAGAAACATTATTATCATACGGTCGTCTGTCCTAAAACTGGTTGGACACGCGCCTCCGCCCTTTCTTATCCTGAACCTTTTTTTAAACCTAAAATATCCCACATCCTTAACTATTTAAGAACACTAATCTAGGTCTACCACTATTCCTATTTCTTCTTCTAATATGTCTAACTAGCTCTTATTCATGCCCATATCTTTTTGACTTCAAAAGCGCTCTCTACTCTTCTACTCTTTTTAATACCTTCTCATTTCTAACCTCTCTATTCAAGGTATCCTCATCGTTCGCCTGTAATAACATCACATTTCGAACGGTTTTAGCCTTTCCGTTCGCGTTTTGCACCCTTACAGAGTCGTGCTCCAGACACACAAATATAAAATGCGAGCCTTTACAACTTCATTCCAATAAACATTGTTATAAATTGCAAAGCTTGACTTCTTAACGTTTTTGTTTTTACTTTAGTGACCTTCTACTATATCTAAGTGGTATGTAATTTTAAGGGTAGGTTAGGTTAGGTAACATATTGAAATATTTAGTGTTTTAGAAAATTTTATGTAACGAAGAGGTTCCCATTATTCCATGGAAGTTGCACCGTCGTTTCGATAATAGTTGAACTGACGATGCGACATTTTAATTTCATATATTTAGTATATATAATTAAATTAGTAAAAAATCGACGGATCTGTAACCTTGTATGAACCGAGCGGCATGGCCTAGAGGTTTAGACCATTGCTTAGCATTCGGGAGGATGCCGGTTCGATTCCGGGTCTGTCTGCCTTAGTCCAAGTTTTTCTGTGGTTTCCTTGGATCACTTAGGCAAATGCTAGGGCAGTAATATTTTCTTCTGTCTTCATTTCGTCCGTCTCATCTTTCTCACCCGAACCACCACCCACCCATTCCCACGATTCCTGAAAGCAGGCTGAAGAGGGCCTTCCGCCCTACCTTCCGGCGTAGTCCGGAGAGACTGCCCTTCCACCAGCATTACTAGCTGGTGGGAATGAAACACCCAAAAGTTTTTTTTTTAACCCTGTAGGCTCGGTTTGTCGTGGTTGCTGTTGTCATCTCTCGTAGCTTAGTGGTCAGAGCAGTGTTGCGTAAAGCCAAAGGTCCCAGGTTCAATTCCCGGCGGGGGTGTGTGTATGACAACAGCAACAAAAAAAATTCCCTCATTAACCTGAGAGTAGTTTGTAGTATATGGAAAATTGAAAATGAATTTTCACATTAATATAACGGACGATTTTCGTAAATTTGATGAAAGTGCATTGAAAAAATCGGTTCGATTTAACGTGGTTGTTACCGTAATCGATTGTAATTTTCTCGTTTCAGGCAAAGTGGACGAGAAAGCGACCCAGTTGCATGCCATTGCTTCTCTGAGGGTGCTGCTAGATGCGACAAAGCCTCAGAATGGTGCCGCGACCAGTTCGGCGGCGAATTATGTGAGTGCTGCCAAGCAGGAAACGATGCTAACGCCAACTAATCGGGGAAGTACTGGGGAAACTGCATCCGACATCCCCAATGGCATTACCAACCCCATCGGTGACATTAACTTGGACACGGTAAGATGCGTCGATCATTGATCAGTTCCTTTACTACATACATACCTATATATACATATGTAGATAGTTCGTAAAGTAGATTCGCTGCAATAATCTCCATTTCCACGATAGCTACGGTGACTAAAATCACTTCGCATCCTTTGAGATTTAGGAAGGTGATAAAGTACTCACGAGAAAACGCGTGGATAAGGTAAAGGTTACATTTGTAAGTCGCATTTGACCTTTAAATTCCAGAAAATGGAAATAATACCTGCTAAATATATTTATAGAGCCCCTTGCTTAAAAATTCATGATTATAAAACGTTTAACGTTTAAAAAAGCGGGTGTAAAGATAAAAATAAAGGAAAAACAAACCATTTCTGGCANAAACCTAAATTAAATTTTTAGTTATTGTTTTCTTTTCAAAATTATCATGGGGGCTATAATATGAAAGATATGAAAGATATGAAAGAGGCGATTTCGTTGTTTTTTGCTCTTCGCCATGGGGTAATATCAACTTACACAAAAATATTTTGGGGTAATGATTAAAAAAGGTCCCCGACCGCTGGCCTATAGTTTCATAAATTAAATGACTATTCTGTCTATGATAATTTTCCCTTATTGTCTGAAAACATTCTCTATAACACATGCTTATAGTTACCTAATTTTAGAGGAAATTGAGATTTTTGCAGAGTGTACAGTAGAGAAATTATTAGTTAGATGTCTGTTATTCGTCAATGAATTAGAAAACATTACAACAAAAATTAAAAATTACAACTATGTCACATTATTCTAACTTGCCGTTTTTAAATGAACTCCTAGATTACCTTAATTTTACCATTCCGTTTTACTCACGTTTTCGATAATTTTACCTACAAACCCACCCTATAAGGTTACACACATATCCGCATTAAAATAAATAAAATTAATTGTTAAATATCGATTTTGCCAATTTGTTACTGTTTTTTTAAGTTTACTAGAAAATTATTCAGATTTTTGACAGCAATTATCCACTAACATACATACATACGAGTAAATATTAGAGAATTGTGATTTATGAAAAGCAATGTTATGATTTTGGCCGTTTCAATGATAACAATGTGTAGCTAGTGATGATTTAATTCATGTGTGTACCAGTAACAAAATATCCAATTAAAACCATCAAAGCGAAAGTCTAGTGTTTGTTAGGTAATAATGCGTAGCACATAATTCTGAAAAGTGCGAGAAGGGATCTATTAGGCGAAGTATGATGGAAATTTAGAAGTAAATTATTGTAGAATGTGTGAAATAAAATTAACATGAAAAATGGAAAAAGATTTAATTACCAGAGGGCGGTTTCTGACAAGAATCAAGATCATTCTGATGAAATTATATAATCGAGTGTTTATATCAGAAAAAATTAATAGGAAAGGAAATGTATAATTATAACAAAAATTTGCTGATTATCATCAACTGATTGATTCAACTTAATAGAGTAAAGTATTAACAAAGTTCGTTACAAAAAAGTCTTTAATAACAGCGGAGACTTGACAGCAGTAGAAATAACGATTCGATTGATATGTCAATAAAATATCTTCTCAAAAATTGTACCTGTTGATATAGGAGCCTGTCTGACATTCACGAATAATAACATAATAATTAAAGAGCAAAAGAAATAAGGAATAATTTCATTTGATTATTTATTATTATTAAAAAGGTTGAAATGCGGTGGTACAGGCGAATGATGAGGATATTGGGGATAAGCGTCTGTGATTTCCTAAATCCCTGAGAATGTTGAACTTTCTTTAAAGTCCGATGCTGGCAACATACTCAAATTCTACTTATCTGCACCTCTTTCTGTTACACCTCAATTGGTGTAATGTTATTCCTTTTTCTTTATTAGTGTCCACTGCAATTCCTACCTGACATCTCTTTTCTATGTTTAAAATATCTGTCAGCAACCCCTGTAGTCCAATTAAGGACTGGAAAGACTAGAGGTGTGTGTCCAACCAGTCTTGATTGACTTTATGGTGATGATGATGATGATTATGTATTAAAAAGTAAGGTAAAAGTCTAGATGATGGCCCCCATCCCCGAAGTGGCGGTCTCACCCCCATAAAAAGTTACAGGGGTTCAAAGTTAATAAATATGCCAATTTTTATACATTTCTGGGCATGTAAATATAGTATATAGTCATTCTTAAACAATATTCAAAGGTAAAACTAATGGAAAAAATATTGGGAAAGTTATATAAAACATTATTAAATATCCCCCACCTCCACTCGCTTGAAAATATTTTTTTATTGAATTTTATTTGAATTATAGTGTATGAAAATTGTCAAAATAATCAACTTTCAAGCCCCATAACTTTTTATGGGGGTGAGACCGCCGCAAATTTTATATGGGGTTTTACTCAGGTGACCACCCTCTTTCGATTCTCCCTACCCTCTTTCGATCCCCCCTACCCTCTTTCGATCCCCCCTACCCTCTTTCGATCCCCCCTACCCTCTTTCGATCCCCACTACTCCCACCCCCATCTAACACCCATAAGTTTTTATGGGGGTGAGTCGACCACGAACTTTTTATGGTACAGTGATGGGGGAAACCTCCTCTTTTGATCCCACCCACCCGCACCCCCTTCGGGGGTGGGGGCCATCATCTAGACATTTACGAAAAGTAATTTTGTTTATCACCCGGTTTGACGCGGTTATTATCAACATTTTCCGGGTAGTCTGTGTTGACTGGCGAGCACTTTGGCACCCCTAGTGTACATTGTACAATACGTATACATATATGTATATAGCTGTAGGTTTACATAAACACATTGTATTTGATTGCGACGTGTAAGTACTTGGCAGTAGTCGATGCTGTGAAGAGAAAGGCAATTGTTTTCGCGAAACACGCCCCGACAATAAATTACAGTTAATAATTGTTCGAGACGTCAAAGGCGCCAATATTGTTCCACGGGATGTATTTTGCCACAATCGATTACCGTAATTCGATACCTATGTATTTTAATATGTACATAAACAGAGGCACAAGTGTTTGTTGCACACGGATATCCATGTAATAGGCTTTCACAGCCGACTTCCTGATGCGCTTAAACCTAAATAATGAACCTTTTTACGTTTCCGATCCACAGGGAAATTGTCCAACGATACGGTTAATGACTAGATTTGACTCTGTATCCTAATTTAACTGCAGCTGAATAACGTGAATAACTAAAGTTATTAAATAATCGCTTCTATTCCATCCTTGTGGCTGACATCAACCCATTACTTTCTACTAGCCTATCATCATCATCATAAGGTCGTCAGTCCTAAGACTGATTGGACACGCACCTCCACTCTTTCCTATCCTGAGCTAAGCTTTGCATTTCCCCAAGACTGGAACACCCCACATCCTTAACTATTCGCGAACAGTAATCTAATCTAGGCCTAGCTCTACTCCTCTTAACTTCTGTTTCTGCTTCTAATGCCTCTTCATGCCTAAGAAGGTGTCCTACCAACGTATATGGCCTCCGTTCTACTACTCTGTCAAATATCTCTTGATTTCTAACCTTCTCTATCCACGGTATCGTCATCATTCGCGTGTAAGGCTACATTTCGAACGCTTCTAATCTTTTCTTTTCCGCCGCGCCCAAAGTCCATGTTTCGCACCCATACAGCGCCGCGCTCCAAACATACACCTTTAACAATCTTTTTCGAATTTTTCAATTAATCGTTCGCGAGCATAGAAGTAACTTCTTTTTATTGAAGACGACTCGACCCTGCGCTATCCTTTGCTTGATATCTCTACCACTCCTTCCGTCCTGCCTGACTCATCTGTCTTCCTAGATACCGAAAATCATCAACTTCTAATTTTATATCTTTATATTCGCTCCTTCCCTACTTTTCTTGCCTTGCATACCAGTACTTTTGTTTTACTTTTATTTATTTTCACACAATGCTATTACTGCTACATCATCTACAAATCTAAGCGTACTGATTCTTTGTCCCCGTGTATCTATCCCCAATGTTGTCCTGCCTTTAATGACGTTTATCGCGTCTTCGATATATAGATCTAGATTTCATTGAATTTATGAATCCTATAATGACTCTAATTTCTTTTCAAACACAACACTTTGGCTTGATCACAAAATAAACAATAAGGTAATAGTTTGAGATAATTGAAAAATTAGAATAGTGCATTTGTAGATATTATAGACCCACTTGCTTATTATTAAGGTCGTGTGAGCATATTAATCAATAGTATTTTTGAACACCTTTAAAATAATACCTATCCACTGTATATAGCTTTTTATCAGATTAACAGGTTTTTAGACGCTTGCTTTTGTATATGTATATACTATTTTTTTTGGATAACTTAAAAATGGCAAACTTTATCAAAGCTGTAGATAGTAACAATAAAAATTGTTAGTAAACAAAAGGGATGTTAAAGAAAGTAAAAGCGTTGTTTATTTATTCGTGACGACGAAATATCACAAAGGAACCGTCAAATCAATCCAACATTTGCGTTTTGTTTCACTTCTCATTCCGTTTATTAAACAGAAATATAGTTTTGCCTTTAAATTTTGAAATTGAATGTGTATCTTGCTTGGCTATGTGAAATTCTAACAGAAAATAGTAGTTGAGGGATATGTCAGCCGATTTGTATCCAGTTTAAGCTATCCTCCGGGATCGTTGACGGTAACATGACACTTCAGTGCTCGGAGAATTACATAGAAGCTCGCTGAATGGTATTTATTTCTGATATAGTCCCAACTATTAAAATACCTGACGAGTGTTGGTTCAGTCCGAATAAAAAATAACCCTTTACTAAGTTTTTTAGTTTATTTTAACTAGTTTGAATAACGGTGGTTAATACAACGTTATTTAACGTTAGCTTAATTTTATTTTCACAAAAAAAGGGGATGGATTACCAATATTAATAAATAAAACCCTATTTATACTACTGGTCAAGTCATAACCAAGTCACAGTCCAGTCAAAGTCAAGTAAATATAATAGAATCCATTTCATAGAGCAATATTCATACTCAAAGGAATGGCCGAGTCACGGTGCAGTCAATTAACAGCGCTGTTTCTATTCAACTATATTTCGATCTGACTGCGACTGGACCGTGACTTGATCGATAGTAAAGCTCGATTCATACTATCGGTTAAATTACGGTCAAATTTAAGTGTCGTTAGATATAAATACAACGATTAATTGACTGGACCGCAACTGTGACCGGATCGTGACTTGGCCGACGATAACACTCGATTCATTCTATCAAACAAGTCACTGTCAGATAAAGGTTTCATTTGAGAGAAATACCACGTTTAATTAACTGGACCGTGACTTAACTGTGATCGGATTGCGACTTGATTGATGATAACGCTATGTTCATTCTATTAGCCAAGTCACGGTAAAATAGAAGCATCGTTAGAGAGAAATGTCACGGTTAATTATCTGGACCGTGACTACTACCGGATCGTGATTTGTCCGATGGTAATGCTCGGTTCATTCTATCAGCTAAATCACGGTCAGATCAAAGTACTAATGAAGAGAAATGGCACGGTTAATTGACTGGACGGTGACTACGACTGGATCGTGACCTTTACCGTGGTAACACTCGATTCATTCTATCAGCTAAGTCACGGTCAGCTCAAAGTATCGTTAGAAAAAAATGCCACGGTTAATTGACTGGACTGTGACTACAACCGGATCGTGATTTGTGCGATGTTAATGTTCGATTCATTTTAACAGCTAGGTTGCTGTAAAATAAAAGTATCGTTTGAGAGAAATAGTACGGTTAATTAACTGAACCGTGACTTGACTATGACAGGATTGTAACTTGATCTATACTGAAGCTTCGATTTATACTATTGGCCAAGTCGCGGTCAGATGAAAGTATCGTTAGAGATAAATGCCGTGGTTGATTGACTGGACCGTGACTTGACAGTGTAAAGAGCGTGACTTGACCGATAGTAATACTTGATTCATCCTATTGGTAGTCATGATCAAACGAAAGTGTCGTTAAGTACGGTTAATTGACGGACCGTGACTTGACTGTAATTTAACCGATAGTATGAATAGGGCTTAAAGGGTCAGCTTTTTCGTAAATACTCCTGTTACTTTCTGATTTCGCTTGCAAGCATCTTACTATTTAGAATTTATTCTCTAGTTTGATTTTACATTTTAGCACTACATTTGATACATCCTATTGTTTCTAATTAGTAGATATTAAAACATATTTGTGTGTATAGTCTTTTAAAAAACTAAATTTCGTGTCAGAAGCCAGAAACTGTTTCAATTGGTAATTTTGAATGGTGAAAATTGGTTGTGTGGACCGGAAAAATTAAAAATGCGTCCAAAAGCGGTCTTTCAACACAATGACTTTCGGCACAAAGCAAACACACAATACGGGCGTTATCGATACTGGATTTTATTTCTATTTTCCATATTTTCATTACGGTTCACGTTCGCACATTATGCCAGCAATCTAATATACGTGGGAATATTCCAGTTGCCGACAAACTGAGTAAGTGGGAAAACGCCAAAAAGCAATTTGGAGAACAAAACTTGACTTTTTTCTGCTTTGAAATCTGAAAACCGATCCGCGATTAAAATACGGAATAGAATTTTCATACATAGGTATAAGGGGTAAGGCGTCATAAGCAATTGTAAGTGGGAGGAAGGTTCGATGTGGGCCCAGGCAATGGGTAATGGTGATGTACTGGGTGAGCTGGACTCAGCGGGATTGTGGAACATTTTGAGTGAAAAAAAAGGGATTCTTTCGTCGAAAGCGGGACATAGTAAAAGAACGTACATAATCGGAAGTATTTAAATATTTATCGTTTTATTTTAGTAAAAATTACGTTTACGTGACAATAGTTAGCAAAAATAGTCATAGAAAATGTATTTTAATGAAAATATGATATTTTAAATCAAATTTACCCTATCGTTAAACAGTCGAGTCTTATTCGTTTTCTGAATAAAAGAAAAATAAAAAAACAGAAATCAAAATCACAAAACTTACAGTAAGAGAATTATTGTTTATGAATATGACTAGAAATTAATGAACATAGAAGTTGTTCTCATGTCATCCACTCAATAAGGGCGCAAACAACTTCAACAAAATATTAATTTTGAATTTTATCGAAATATTTACATAAAAATCTACTTCGAAGCACCCTAAACCAGAATATAATGTTTTCAATACTGAATATGGAAGCATTTACTAGAAAAGGAAACATTAAATTTGAATTCATTGATAGCTAATAAAATACATTCCAATGGTCATATTTTGTATGACTATGATATAGGTAATAATTTTTATTGAATGTTTTTATTTGAATTTCTTCGGTTTCATTTCGGTTGTCTCATTCAATCGGGTTCTCCAGCTTTTGGCTATCTACATTTTCGGAAATTTTTTTACTCTCTTTGTCAAAAATTGCTTATGGTACCTTACCCTTTTTAGCTATATATTCAAATAGCTTTTAAACGGATATTCAGGCTCTGTTACAAAAAATAAAAGTGATATCTGTTAGAATTCATTGAATTCATTGTTATTTGGTCGTTTTGGGATACAGCGGTTTATTAACCTAGCCCTCGGTCGGCTTGGATTATAAATACCATAACTAACCATTTCAATACTCGCCCCTGATTAAAATTCAAATATTAAGTAAGAGCCTTGAAACGTGTATATTTGTGAAACCGAAGTAGGTACCGTTACCACCCCCTAGGAGGGAAAATAGTAATAGAGAGACTAGACAAATTTAAATTTTGAATATTGCAACGAGTAGTCAAAAAGCTCACTCAACATAAAGGTTTACGATTATCATCGAATATCACGTAACAATTAACATAAATAAATTTATTTGATCAGCATAAATATAAGCGTAATCATTTGTACTAATTTTAATTATTAGCTAGTTTTAGTGAAGTTGTTTTTATTAACAAACATTAAAATATATAGTGCGAATTTTATTTCGAACGGGAGAATTGGCACAGCAGTGCAAAGACGTAAGGCCTTCCGCCCTACCTTCCGGCGTAGTCCGGAGGGACTACCCGCCCACCAACATTAGTGGCTGGTGGGAATGAAACACCCAAAAGTTTTTTTTATCTCGAACGACTAAAAAATGAATGAATGAATAACTACAAGCAGTAGGTATAGTCAATTCATTAATGTTTGACAAAATCATTTTCTCCAGAATAGTAAGAAGAAAACTAAGTCCTTGATGGACTTNATATATTCTCTCGACGTAAAATGTTTTCAATTCAGTGCACAAGAATTATAAGACGTTGTCACGTCAAAAACTACTTGCCGAAACTTAGATATAAAAAGTGTGATTCCGTTATTCACCTTATTTTCTTCCTTCATGCATAGAACTACCCATAAATCAATGAAACACTACACTATAGACACTTATGTGACAGCCAAATAGTAAAATTTGCGGCTTTCTAATCCTTCCCCTACAAACGAGTCATTGACGTGCAAGTATCCTATAATTCCCTTTGNAAATAATATTTTATAGTTGTATGAGTTGTGCATGTGTTGCCTCGTGATAACGGACTTTTTTTTACTTCTAAAAAGCATTATTTTGTCATTTTTCTACCAAATATTGAGAATATTATCAGTCTTCTGGCTTCAGTCCCCTCGTCTCAGTCTCCTGGCAACTTTAAAAACGGGATTAGACCCAAATCATCGCTGGAGATGATTGGATTCAATGTATTAAGTGCCATGAATTGGCCCAAATCCAATGTATTAAAACCGATCCTCGATTTTTTACATACCCAGGTTGTTTATTTCACTCATATTAATAAGGATTAATTCATAAATAATTATATTTCAGTTAATTCTATTTGTTTAAGGTTNCCGAACGCGGAGGCCGATTGTGCCTCTTTGTCGCTCGTTCCGCGCTCTCGCTTGCACTTCAAGCCTTAAATGGAACGCCTCAGAGCGAGCTAACGACGCATGAGTCATGTTTTTTCGTGCGTGCAGCCGGCTCTATCGAATCATAAGACGTTGTCACGTCAAAAACTACTTGCCAAAACTTAGATATAAAAAAACCTTATTTTCTTCCTTCATGCATAGAACTACACATAAATCAATGAAACACTACACTATAGACACTTATGTGACAGCCAAATAGTAAAATTTACGGCTTTCTAATCCTTCCCCTACAAACGAGTCATTGACGTGCAAGTATCCTATAATTCCCTTTGCGAAAAGGCGCTTGCGGCAAGCGCCACTGCCTGTCTCCTTGATGGGGTGTTTTCTAATTCTAGCGACGAATGTCAACTGTTCGCGCCCGTAAGTCACTGACTTCACAAGCAGTCGTGTGTCTGCAGGTGGGCGATGCTGAGGACGAGCCACCGGAGGCCCTCGACATGGGCTGGCCCTCAGAGAACAAGAAACGTCTCACCTACGTCCTGTTAGCTCCGATCGTTTTTCCCCTGTGGCTCACCTTGCCTGACACCCGATCACCTAGTGGTAAGTCAATTGATCGTTCTATTTACCATACCATAGCTTAATTTTCGCAATTAGGTTGTCATTTTTCAGAGCGATCGCTATGAAGGAAATGACTTCTTAAGGATGTTTGGGAGGTATGTCAAAATGCTACGAGACAAATAAAAATTTGGAAGGACGTTCCTTATTCAATTCTAAAACTCCTGTAAAAATTGCAAATCGATTCACTAAGCCGTTAAAAAAAATTGTAATTTTACACGTCATTTTATGGAGATTCGTTAGCCGAACAGATTAAATTTATTTTTATTAATAGAAAAAAAGCTACCAGAAATTTCAAACTTTTATAATAAGTAACTTGAACTCTGGAGAATCACTTTAGCGTAAGGTTATTCAAATTCACTAAATGGTTATCGAGGAAAAAATGAAAAATTAGCTGAAAATCTCGTTTTTACTTGATAATATAATGATAATATTTATAATTGTCTGAAATAAATGCAATTTTAAAGTTTTAATTATTATTTAAACATATTAAAAAGTTTTACGCTCATTATTAATAGAGA